GTACTAGTACTAGTGCTAGTTCTAGTACTCGTACTCGCCGTTGTAGTCGTACTAGTAGTAGTTGTAGGAGTAGTAGTAGTAGTTGTAGTAGTAGTAGTAGTAGTAGTAGTACCACTATCACTACTACGAACGAGCAGTTATCAAGCAACTGCTAGTTCGGGCGCATGGTGGCGAGGGGCGGCCCCGAGGACCTTCGCCTCGTCTGCGGGGGCCCCGAGGCCTTCGCCGAGCACAGGGCCAGCGCGAGCGTGGTCGTCGTCGACGCCGCCGCGCCCTGGCCCAAGCTCCGGGGCGAGGGGCGCGCGTGCGTCCACGAGACCGAGGCCTCGGCGCGAGCGGATTGGGCGCAGAAGGAAAGGGTGCAGTGCCCAACAGCAGTTCCTGTTCATTTTGAATAGGATTCGCTGTCGGTGTCGCCGCGGCCTGCGTCAATTTGAGACAGAAGGCCGCCTGCCCAACAGCGGCCGCTGTTGGTTCGGCACAACCGTTGTTTTGGGGCATTGTACCCATTCTTTCCGCGCGCATTTCGAGCGCCCAAAGGTGCGCGCCGCGGGCGCCAAGAAACGCATCGCGAACCTCCGCGAGAAATTCCGCAAGACGCGCAACGAGCAGAACAATGCAGCCTTCGAGACGGAGAACGCCAAGCACTTCGCAGACCACCCCGACCACAAAGAGCAAGTAGAGCAGGCCTACTCGAGCGCAGGAGACAAGTACAGGCTCACCCTGATCAGCGTCTCCGCGGTCGAGAACTGGTTCGGCCCGAGCAGGGAACTGAGGTCCGCCACGAAGCGCAGCGCGCTGCTTGTCCCCTGCGCAAGGCACTGCCGAGTCAGCGACGTGAGCCTCGAGGAGGGCACCTGGCGGCGAGACGTCACCTACGAGCGGGGCGATTGTGAGACGGAGCGCTTCCGAGCAGGAGCCCCCAGGAGCGCTGCTCAAGGGCCGGCGCAACGCCCTGCTCGAGTTCTCCGAGGCGCAACGCTCGAGGGCCTTCGAGGCCATCGGCGCGCGGGGGCAGCCGAGGGCCTGGACGGACGGGCTGGTGGCAAGTTGGGCAATCGATTCATCGAGCAGAAGCAGGGCCAGAGCCTCGTGTTTGCAGACTGCCTCTCGAGCCAGTGGGCCGAGGCGGTGGCGCTGCGAGCGTGGCTCAAGAATATTATCTACGCGCCCGTGGCCCCCGACGTCACGAGCTTCTTGCAAGGGCCCGACACCCGCGATCACAGCCAGCTCAAGGCCAATATCCGAGAGGTCAAGGCCGAGATGCACTGGGCCATGGAGCAAGGCTGGCTCCAGGAGACCAAGACCGAGCCCCAGAAGAAGTACAAGTCCCCGGCGCAATGGGAGCCCTACGAGTGCCTCTACTGCGTCCCCGAGGCCTGCGCCCGCTTCCGCGAGCAGAACAAGGACGCGGTGCCGCTCCAAGGGCTGCAGGCAAACCAGATGTTTGTGGTCGGGCCGACGGAACAAGGCGAGCTCAAGGTCGTCGCGCGATGGGGCCGTGAAGCTATTCCACTGAGCCCGGCCGCCGCATCGAGGACAGCCCGAAGCAAGAGCGTCTCGAGGGCGTCCAGAGCTGGCCCGAGGGCGCGCCGCAAGTGCCCGAGTGAGGCGCCCTCGACGGCAACTGCTTCCACAACGACGACTTGCCGAGGGACTGCGAGGAGGGCGAGAACCCTTGTCTCCTGGAGTTCCGAGAGCTGGACCTCGAGCTCAACGGCGAGCAGGAGGACGTGCTCAAACCGCCAGTGGAGCGGATCAAGGACATCAAGTTCCCGCGCGCCCTCGAGAACAGGATCAAGCTGGCGCGGACGCGTTTAACGCGGGAGCAAGTGGGCGCCCAAGTTCGCGGCCCAGTTCCCGGGCAAGCACGCTCGCAAGTGGCAGCGCGAGAAGGGCAAGGCTGGCGGCGAGACTTGGCTCGAGCACTTCAGCAGAGGCGTGGCCAAGGCGAAGCCCGCAGGTAGGCCGCCGAAGGCGCGCGCGAGCTTCTCCAATAACGTCAAGCAGAAGCAGCAAGCGAAGAAGGACAGCAAGAAGGAGGACAAGGCCAAGCAGAAAGGCGGCCTCGAGGCTTGCGCCCCCCCCCCCCCCGGCACGGCGCGCGTCGCCGAGGAGGGCAACCGCGATGGCAGGCGCGGCAGAGCGCAGGACGTCTGGCGTGCCCTGGGCACAGAACGAGTACCGCCTGCGCGCCCCCGATGTGGAGGCCGCGGCGATCTTCCAGATCAACGCCAGCGAGGCTTCGAGGGTCACAGGCACTCGTTAGCATCCGCCTGCTTCTGCCCGGGGCGGCGGAAGCAGGCGGAAATTGGCAGACAGGAAAAGGAAGGGCAGCGGAAGCATGCGGAAGCAACGCGAAGCGCGGAAGCAGGCGGAAGCAGGCGGAAGCAGGCGGAAGCAGGCGGAAGCGGAAGCAGGCGGAAGCTAATGAGCGCCTGCGAATCCCGAGCGCCGCAGGTCACGATCGAGCAGGACTACAAGTTCCCCAAGCCGCAGAAGTTCGACTGGCGCCAGGCAAGACAGCCCGCCGCGCCGCGCTCGCCAAGGAGTACGCGATCATGAACTGCGAGCAGATCGTCAAGGGCGACACCCTCGAGCTGGGCACGCTGCTCGCGCTGCTGGGCGAGATCGAGGAGCGAGTGGGCGTCCCCGACAACGCGCTGGCGGTCGAGCCCACGGTGGCCGTCGCCTGGGCTCGAGAGGGTCAGGGCGAGGATGCGCCCGCCTCCCAGCAGCCCGAGGAGCAGAAACGCTGGGCCGAGAGGGTCGACAAGGCCCAGCACGTGCTGGCCTGCGTGCGCTCCGAGGCGCCCGCGCACTACGCGCACTTCAAGGTCGGCGGTTGCTGCAATGCCCACCCCGCCCCAGGGCGCCCCCAGCGTTTCGCTCCAGTTTGGAGCGAATCCCGGAGGCGCCCTGGGCAGGGGGCGCTTGCGGCACTCCCCAGCCGGTCTCGAGGATCGACGGGGGCGGCGTCGAGGAGGGCTGCCGCGACGCCCTCTGGCAGCCGCCCGAGAACGCCAAGCAGGCCCAAAAGGGCCACGCGCGAACTCACGCCTACACCCAGCGATTTCTGTGGGGGGAAGGCGGGGTCCACTTTGCTTGGGAGCTGCCGAGCGAAGTGTACCCCGCCCTTCGCGAGGATCCTCTGCAAGCTCGGCGCCGTTGGCCCTGGCGAGCATTGCCCAGCACCGAGCAACAGACCATGCCAAGTTGACGGTTGGAGCTGCGGCCTCCGTGCGAGCCGCTGGATCGAGCGCGCCTTGCGCGAGATCCGCGGCGAGGGCCGCCAAATGCCAGCGCACCTCCACGCCGCGGTCGCTCGAGGGAACGAGTTCATCAATGAACCCGAGGAGGCGAGCGACAACGACGCGGCGACGGCCAAGGCCAAGGCCAAGCGCAAGTCCAACCCTTGCAAGGGCCCCGCGGCGGCCGAGCCGAAATGCGGCAGCTGCGAGGCGGCCAGTGCCGCCGCCCAGCTTTGCACCAAGTGTCTCCCATGCAAGGACTGCTCCAAAGGATGCCTTGCTTGCGTGGGAGCGTGGTTCGAAGTCCAGCGCAAGAGGGGTTTCTTGGTCAGATCGGCCAAGGACCTCTCTAGCGCTGGCAAAATCTAGGCGCCTGCTCAGCCACGAGCCTCGAGATCGCTCGAGTCAGCCTTGCGTCGTGCGCCTCTGCGGGCAAGTAGCCGCGAGCCTCGAGATCGCTCGAGTCAGCCTTGCGTCGTGCGCCTTTGCGGGCAAGTAGCCGCGAGCCTCGGGGCCGTTCGAGTCAGGTTTCCGTCGCGCGTTTGGTTTAACATCCTCCTTCTCCTTCATCGTCGTCATCTTCTTCATCCTCATCATAACTTACCTTCCCCGGGGAAATCCTGTATTATCCCCGCGGGAACCGCGAACTTTATTATCCCACTGGGTTTTATCGCCCGCACTCGGTTACTTCTCTCCTTTCTCCCTGGAAGTTCGCTGGGTCGTTGACCCCCCCTCCCCTCCGCGTTTTCATTTTGTTTGTTTACACGCAGCGTTTCAAGCGTCTGTTTCTTATGTGTTCGTGCCATCGGATTGTTTTCGGTGTCTCGATCTGGTGCTCCAGCTGCAACGTGGGCCTCCCTTTCGGATCGGCGCTTTGCTCCCTCCGTTCGGACTGGTGTTTTCGCCCCAGTCTGGATCCCACGGGCATCTCAGGTCCCACGGGTCTCGTAGGCCCCACAGGCCCCACAGATCCCACAGGTCCCACAGAACCCACTGGTGTCGTAGGTCGCCCCACAAGCACGACAGGTACCACACTGACACGTTCTGCAGGTCCCCCAGGTACCGCAGTTGTCGCACGTTTCGCGGGTCCCACAGGTCCAGCAGGTCCCAAAAGTCCCATAGGTGTCGCAGGTATTGCAGGTCCCGCGCAGGTCCTCCAGGGCCCACAAGTCCCACAGGTCCCGCCAGTCTCACAGGTCCCGCAGGTTTCGCAGGTCCCACAGGTCCCACATGTCCCACAGGCATTGCAGCTCCCACACGTGTCGCCGGTCTCACATGCCACAGAGGTCCGTCAAGTTACACAGGTCCCACATGTCCCGCAGGGCCCACAGGACCAACAGGTCCACAATCCTCACCTGCCCCACAGGTCCCACAGGTCACAGAAGTCCTACAGGTGCACAGGTCCCGCAGTTCCCACCTGCCTAGCAGGTCCCACAGGTCAACTTTGCTGCTATTCGGGTTCTTTGCTGGGTAATGGAGTTCCAGGGCGGCTATGGCACTCCTCCGCGGATAGAGAAACTCAGCGCAACGGGAATGGATGGGAGCGAAGGATCGGATGTCAGATGTGCCTCGAGTGTACGTAGCTTGCCCATCCCTCTCTCGTCCCTCCCCACTCCTCCCCCTCCGCCCCCCTCCCTGGCTCCGCTCTATTTTTCCATCTCCCCCGCCCTCCCTCCCCGCCCTCATCCCTCCTTCTGCCACCCCTCCTCGTCACGAGGACGGGGAGGGCGGCGAGGGGGAAGCCGCGAGGTGATAAAGGGTGGCACCCGCGCTGTGCAGTTCGCGTGGCTCGGGATGGCCGTCATAGGGTTGCCGGGCGCTCGGTCCTGGGCGGGACCGCGCGCGCGCGGTGGAATACCAGGTCGCTCTTGCTCCTGCCCATGCTGTGGGGCAGAGGGTTGCCAGCGGTGCCCCCGAGTGTGGTAATGGCAGTCGTCTTTTCCCTCCCTCCGCCGCTCCTCTCCGATCGTCCTCGCGTGCTCTTGGTGGTCCTCGTGTGCGTGGTGTGGTGGTCACGGGAGTGCGGCGGTGTTCCCGAGCTGCTCTGTCCTGCTAGAGGGTTACGCGATTTCGCCGACCCCCAGAAGTAGTGGGAGCTTGTGACGATCGTGGACCAATCCGTCACCGTGCGTTGGGCTGTGGCCCAGAAGCCTCTTGGATAAATATGAGGGCCTCTTGGGATGCCTGCCGGGGGCCTGTTGGAAGGGTTCTTGGGGGCATCTGGAGGGGCTCCTTGGAGGCTTCTTGGGACCTCTTGGGGGCCTCTTGGGGGCCTCTCGGATGCCTCTTGGGGCATCTTGGGGGCGCCTCGGGGGCCTCTGGGGGCCATCTTGGGGCCAACTCTTCAGCCCTCCTTGGGCCGGCTTGGTCTTGGGGCCCTCTTGGGCCGTCTTGGGGCCCTTTTGGTGGTTCACCATCTTGGGGCGGTCTTGGGGGCTCCTTGCGAAACTGGCACGTGGTCCGAATGGAATGTGATCATTTGGGAGCAGTCTGGGGCCGTCTTGGATGCATCGTGGGCCGTCTGGCAACCATCTTGGGCGGTCGTGGGGCTACCCTACGCTGTTTCGGCGCTCTCTTGGATTGTCTTGACGCTATGCATGGGTCCTCTTGGCCCGTCTTGGGGCCCTTGGAGTCGCCGCAGGCTGCCGGAGAAGTGGTGACGAGCTCATAGGCCCACGGTGGGGGGCCTCAAGCAGTATTTTGGACCCCAGGAAGGGGGGAAGGGTGAGGGGGAGAGCCAATCGTCTCCTCACATGTCTTGCCACCCACGGCAAGCGGGGGTCGGCGGATTACTGTACTCACAGGGTCCTGCAGACTGCACCACAGACATTTGGCACGACAAGGTCGCTGTGGTATTTGCACGCTGTCGTGCCCGCAGTCTTCTCTTGTACTGGCAGGGTCCGGCATTCGTCGCCGTCTGGCGGTCGCAGGGACATTGTGGCGTTCGCGAAAATATTATGATGTTCGCGGGCTATTGCTGCGCTGGCAGTCTACATTGCAGTGCTCGCAGAAGTATTGTTGTGCTCGCTGCCTGATGTGTTACAGGCAGAACGCCGCATGCTGCTGTGCACGGCTGAGGCGGTGTTGTGACGTTCGCAGGCTATTTCATCACACACAGGGTGTGACGCTCACCAGATACGTAATTATTGTGGAATGCTAGAGTCTCTATCGTTGCGCATGATGACTTTTGCGACATGATCAGGGTGAAGTTTCCATCGCCGTCCGGTGCACATGGGTCTTCACAGGCGTACCCTAGCGGCTGCAGGCTAGTGTCCCGCATAACATGCATATTGTGATGTGCGCAGCCATGCCGTGTCGCTCGAAGGGTATAGTGGTACTGTCAGTGAGCGTCGTATTTTTGTGCAGACATGTGTTATTTTTCTTGTGCTCGAAGACCATTGGGGTACTGGCAGGGTCCGAGCTCCTTCGCCGTCCTGGTGGTTGCAAGCTTACTCTGATTACTCTGGTGCCCACGTGCATGTGATCTGGTCATCGCAGGCAAGCGTGGTGTTTACGACCTGGCATACCGTTTTGCACACTTGAGGTGGCATCCTGGCGCTCGCAGACTGTGTTGCGGTACTCGCAGTGCGTGTTGCTCGAGGGCGGCTCTTGTGTTTATCAGCAGGGTCCGGCATACAGTTGCGCATGCCGGTGTGCGCTCTGTTGAATCGGTGGCGCTCGCAGGCTATTCTGCTACTGGCCGGGGTCCGACGTGCCTCGCCTCCTTCGAAGAAGAAGCAACCACATACATATAATTTGTGCGCTCCGCGCGGAGTTTTTGGATCCGCGCTGGGCCGGCGCCTCTGGCGCCGCCCCGGGCGGTCGGAGCACGCCAGGGAGGGGGGTCCAGTGCGGATCCAAGCAATCTGCGCGGAGCGTCAACAGTTTATGTTTACGCGGTTTGTTTGTTCTTCTAGTCCTGGCGGTCACAAGAAAACTCTTGGTCCTCACATGGGACATCGTGACGCTCGTTGGCTACTCGTGCCCACATGCACGGATGTGGTGCTTCCGCCGCACGCCCAGGGGCCGCCCGCAGCGACACAATGGGTCTCCTCTTCATCCTCCTCCTCCTTTCTTCCCCCCATTTTTTCCCTCCTCCCCCTCCTCCCCTTCCTTCTTCTCCTTCTCCTCCTCCTCCTCACCTTCCTCCTGTCAAGCAACGTTGGCCCGAGTCATTTTGGTTTGTGACCCACACCTCCGGCGCCTGCACGGAGTGCTTGGGGAGGAGACAACCACCAGCACCAGTTTGCGTGGTGGCCGAGCCCAGTTTGTGCAGATGTACTGTTTTGCCAAACCCGAGGTTGTGAGATGGCTACGCGCAGTGGCAGTGATCCGTGTCTTGGTAAATTTGCAGTGGGTGTGGGCGCGCGGAATACAATGTAGTTTTGGAGTCTTGGAGCAGAAGGGGCGCAAATGCACATGCGGGTGCCTCGTGAAGCTCTACAAGCCCAAGTCCGACCAGCAGCGGTGCAAACCAGACAATGCTCTGATGCAGTTTGGGAACAAAGAGGTTGACAAGTCGCGCAGGTCAGCGGGCACTCTATCCTTACTGGAGAAGTCGCTGGGCAGCACGAGGGGCCCCCTCCTCAAGTTGCTGTAGGATGAGAAAACCAAGACCAATACGAGCGAAAAGCCAGCGGTCACCCAGATGAAACCCTTTTCGCCATGCATCCGCAGTGTGGCGGGATGGTTCCATGAAACACGACCAGGCAGCCAACGCCGTAGACAAAGCCAAAGAGAAACTTGACGAGTAGAGCAACGAGATCGCGAGGCAGCCCTCGCGCTCGACAAGACGGAGGAAAGCAGGGGGTTTGCGGCGCATGTCATAGCCCGTGAGATGGTCGTCGGCGAGCCGTCGTCAGCCGCTTCGCCCGCCTCGTTTGCTGACACCTTAGGCATGCTCTTCGGCGTCAATATCGATGATACATTATTTCAGAACCTTGGGGATCTTGAGTGAAAGGATGGTGAACCCGTGGTTCCCCGCGCGCTCCAGAAGCAGCTCCAAGTGGCCAAGTCGCCTTTTGAGGGCCAGCGCAGCGATGTGCAGGCCTGGCAGGAGCAGCTCGTTGTCAAGCAGGCGGCCATCCATAAGCAGATGGCCAAGAAGAGGCGCGCCGCGGTCGGAGCGCCAGCGGTCGCGGCCGATGCCCCGCAGGCGGCCCGGCAGGCAGACGCCGCTGGCACGGGCGGGCAGCCTGCAGCGGGGGCCGGCGCGGGGGCCGACGAAGCCGCGGCCTAGAGGCCGCAGGGGGCCGTGGACAGGCCCAGCGCAGCCGAGCTCGCCGCGGCGGAGGAGGCGAAGCGCGCTGCCAGGCCGTCAGTGGCGTCGAGCCTTGGCAGAGCGCAGGCGTGATCAACGCGGTTGTAGGCAGCGCCTCCTACACCGAGTCCGTTGACTGGCACCAGGGGTGCATCGGCGATGTCGAGCCCTGGGCAGCGCCGTGGCGGGGGTCTCCGCAGACGAGGACACCGCATCGGGCAAGGCTAATTAGGCGGTGCTTCTTCCTCCCGGGCGACGCGTGCATCGGAGCACAGGCGTGGGGCACCATTGCCTCTGAACAGCACGCACTGTTGAATTGCATTGGTTTCGTTGAGATTCACTCAGCATCGTGCGCAACCCAGGAATGGAATGCCAACGCTCGCGCGCACCATGCGCGTCTCCTCGCCGACCCAGCACGCCCACCCCCCATCTCGCCCCACCTCAGAGGCCCAGCGCAAGAAGGCCAACGAGGGCGGCGAGCGCCTCTTATCGGGGGATATCGCAGTGCACGCAGTCTTGCCAGCTCGAGGGAGCGCAGAGCGGATGGGTCCACTTCGCTGCGCGTATTTCATGCCGCAGTCATTCGCGTGGAAGGTTTCAGTTTCGCCTCAGTATGCTTCTGCGGCTGCTCTGGAGATGGCTGATCAGGCAGGAATATCAAAGAGCACCGTCGCTTGGGGGCGCTGTTGGCGAATCCACAGCTACCTTGGTTAGTCTTCACAGATTGGAAATACCAGCAGCATCGCTAAAGTCCAGAGGCTTCGTCGATCGCGCCCAGGGCCGCGCCCCCGCGGCTTGCAGCGCCGCCGCGACATGCGCGGCCAGCGCCAGAGGATCTGAGATTGACCATGCCATCATGTGTTCGTCTTTCGTTCCGTACGATGCTCGGTTTAGAGTCTGTAGTCGATGCGCCCTGGGAAACGCACTGCGGGCTTTTGTTGTTTTTGGTAGGGGCTCAAGGGCCCAGCGTGTCGCGGGGCCCCTGGGCTCGTCTCGCATCGGCAGTCCCCCCGCCCCTCCCCCGGGCCCAAATCTCCCCGCGCCAAGGCCAATGGGGCCGAGGAGCGAGCCGCGGCTAGGCAGCGCACCGCTCTCGAAGGCGACGCGCATTTCGGCGGCGCTCTCGCCGGGCCCCCCGACCAGCCTGGCTCGCAGGAAGAAGGCGTCGACCCACAGTGTTTTGATTTTGGTTTTGAGGGCGAGGATCGAGGGCCCCTGGGCTCCGGAGCCAAACTTCGTGGCCTGCGACGGGCCAGCGAGCTCGCAAGTTTCCTCCGGCCCCCGCGGCCTCGGAGGCCGCGCCAGAGCCGGCGTCGCGAGCCCCAGGGCCCCCTCGCCCTCCCCCCTGCCGCCGGCCAGACCGAAGTGGATCGGCATAGCGTTGTAGATCGAGTAGTGGATAATGGCCGTTAGCAGCGCTGGCAGGTCTAACATTCAAAGGGAGTCTGGTCAGGCTTTAGCTTTGGGCCCCTTGGCTTCCGACTCGTGCGCGGCTGGGCGCGCCGATGCTATTGCTCTTTCCCCCTTCTATGTTCCGTCCTACTCTTGGCTCGAGC